TTTCGTTGTTTACTTCCATTTTTTAACAAATATAAGCTTCTTTGCTTTCACTGCTTTCTGTTTTTGTTTGCACATGTAAATCAGCTGATGGTTTGACACTTTTCATGAACTTACAGGAAAAAAATCTCCGGACTAAATCCTGTAACTTCTGACTAGGAACAGTTGCTCATTTACTCTCTCAAATGTGTTCCCACTTACAGGTTTTGTGTCAATAGGAACGACTTCCTGTAAGTTCTGACTAAATCCTGTAAACCGGACTGCTATTGGAACAGACTAGAAAAGTGTCAAACGATCAGCTGATTTGCAAGTGCAAACAAAAACAGAAAGCGGTGAGAGCAAAGAACCTTATATTTGTAAAATAATGGAAGTAAACAACGAAATATTTGAATATGTATATATTTTAATAAATAGCACAGTATACAGTAAACCAGCCATTGGCAATATGCTTATTGAAAATTAATACATGAAATATTGTGCATGTGTAGGATTTTTATGTCATTAACCCATAGGCAACGGCTGGTGCAAAAGTACCCACAAATGTTTGTGCATATATTCGAAATGTAAATTTAAACAGCAAAATCATAAAAAATAATACAAACAAAAGTATTGTTAATTACTAAATGGGAGGTGGCGTGGTTATTGACAGATTTCGCCAAAATTTAATACTAACCTAAATTATACCAAAGGCAACTTCGGCACCGACTTTCGTTAAAATATCTAAATTTTCTTCGAGTTAGCCTGTTTACAAACAGACACGGCTGAACCAATTCTTCTCGTGATCGATAATCGATGGGACCATTTTACACAAAGTCAGCCCTTATACGTTCAATTATTCACGCAAAGTTGTGTTCGGAACGCTGTATGACTTATGTAGGAACTACATCCGGTCACAATCGCTAACGCTTCACTCCTGATTTTCTTGGAATTTTATTTTTCCCGTTATTTTATTTTACGTCACTTGAAAATATTTTTCACTATAAGAAAATATTAAATTTGATTTCATTTGGGTTAACGAAAATGACAACTGTCAAAAAATATCAACCAATCCATTCAAACAAATTGTCAAATAAGCATATTTACATTTTTTGTTTTGCCTATCTGGATTACTGTATACTGTGATAAATAGAGAGTGATATATCAGTCAAATCAGTGTTGTGCCAATGACATTTAAACAAACCGACTGACGTTTTTACAGGAAATAGTGCTTTTTGCGTTCCCGTGCACTTCTGCATCTATTCTCCTTTTACTCTCACTTGAGAGAGTAAAATTGACATTAGTTGCGTTCGATAACAAAATTAGCCAACATCAGCCAACAATCAAAATCAAGAGAGTAAGCGAAAATTCTCTCCCAAAGAGATGAAAAAGCAAAAAAGTAAACGAACAGGAAATTAGCCATTACTTGTAAAAACCGGAAGAAGAAGACACACCAGCTGACTTTGTTTATGTTTTATAATAAAAAATAAAAAAATTTTGAGTTCAAATCAAAAAATAATTGTTTTAGAAATTAAAGAACAAAAAGAAAAAAGAATCGTTTAAAATGCCAGTTACTTGCTGTTTAAGCAGAAGCACCTACAACAATGAGGTAGGTATGTTTCGTGTGCCAACAGATGTTACGCAAAGGGAGTGGATAAATGCGTGTGGTGTTAAACTAACTGTATCATCGAAAGTTTGCGCTCTGCACTTCAAATCGAATGAATTCATTTATGCAAGTATTAATGCCAGGAAAAGACGCCTCGATCCAGATGCAGTACCATCAAAGATGTTAGCTGCTATTTCATCAGATAAGAGGTAATGATCAAAGTGTGGGTATGTTCTCAAAGGCATATCGTGAAAATAACGTCCAATAACAAATACAACCGCAGTGTGCCAAACAGATGTGAGGTATCGCATAAAATTTATACTCTCACCAATTTAGTAATAATAGGTTTGTATAGTAACTTCTCCAGTAAAACATTGCAGCCAGAGCGTAAAAGCAAAATAGAGCGTAAAATTGACAAGAAGAGAAAACTAGCAGAAGAACTGAACGCAAAACTAGCAAAAACTTGCAAGTGAATAGTTGTTGCACACTTTTGACATTCTGCTGTAAACATTTTACTATTTATAAATCAGTTTTAAAATCTTTGCTTTTCACACAAGCACTTACACAATCTAGCACGTCATTAACATTTTGATTTCCACTCATTTTGCTTTTGTTTGTGCTAAACCAATTCAACAAATGGCGGCTTTTGACATTTATTCTTCTGCTAGCTAATAGGTGCGTTCGACAAGTCAAAAATTTTTAATAGTTTTTTCCAAATTTTTACTGGATGGCGTTCGATGACGACAAAAAATTATCCAACACCCAAAAATTGAGAGAGCAAGCGTTCATTTTGATGCAATAGAAGCGTTCATTTTGTACTGGCAAAATTTTGGTCAGCAAAAATTATCCAACACGAAAACATATGATCACAAAACATATGGTTGCAATTTTTGTAAACAAACAAAATTGCATTTTCCGAGTTTTGGTATTTATATGCTTTTTGGCTACCTGCTATGTGACTTTATGATAGCGCCAACTAGTTTTTACTTCTAGAAATGTTCCTGGTGAACATTGAACGTTCTCTTTCCTTTTTTCTTCTATGGAGGCAACATGAATTTCAGTTTGTTTACAAATAAAACATAAACAAAGTCAGCTGGTGTGTCTTCTTCTTCCGGTTTTTGCAAGTAATGGCTAATTTCCTGCTTGTTTACTTTTTTGCTTTTTCATCTCTTTGGGAGAGAATTTTCGCTTACTCTCTTGATTTTGATTGTTGGCTGGTGTTGGCTAATTTTGTTATCGAACGCAACTAATTTCTGCTAGTAAAAATTTCACTAGCAAGACTTTTGCAGCTCACCCTTGTTATTACGCTCTCGATTCAGTGTTCTCTTGCAAATTTTTACTTTTCCAGTAAAAATTTGCAGGTTCCAGTACAAATTTGTACTGACTATTGGTTACTATACAAACCTAATATATGGTAGTGATTT